GAGGTGTGCTTTTAATCCAGCATCACTCTACTCCAGGGAGAGAATTCTGACATGGTTTTACCACCACGCTTCTTGCTAGTTAGCATGTTATTTTCTGCAGCTCAGAGAGTGAAATCTGAAGGTGGCAGACAGAGAGGTTGAAGCATATGGTATCCAAATAAAATACTATTTACGTGGAGTGTGAAACAGATAGGACAGACAGCTGTCCTGGGATTCTAGCACTTCCCTGGGCTGGAAATTCTGTAAAAACCTTCCCTTTTGGAGGAATATAAAATACAAGCTGATGACACGGGAATTTCTTTGTGTATTTTTATATACAATTTATACACGTGACTGACTTGTTGAATATAAAAATGTGGATTGGTAGGGTGTTCTCATGTCTTACCCAGCATTGGCCAGGCAGTGCTGGTACACTGCACTGGTCCAAAAAAGGTACATTGGTGGAATGGAAACACTTGAAAGATTTTTTTACTCCTTGAAAACTTTAGCTGGTTTATAATGGCACATTAAGCTCTGTCCATACTTATGTTTCTGGTAATTCTTAATGAAACTTGACAAGTTCTCCACTCCAGTGCTGTGGAATGGATTAAAAAGGAACCCACTGGTTCTTTCCTTACTGAGCTCTGCCAGGTTATTCTTGCTGCAGGTGCTGCTGGTTTGGGCTTCTGCAACCTCTGCTTCAGCCTCTGACATTTCTTATCTGATAAATAAAGAATTAATGGTTAGATTGAGTGGGGTCAGTGAGAGGAGTCCCACACAGATGCCCCCACCTGGCCCTGAGCTGAGCCCTGGTGCTGCTGCACAGACAACAAGTGTTTATTAATGTGCTGGGAAATGATTCCAGGGGCCCCCAGGGAGCACCAGAGAGGGGCTGTGTGGCTGCTGGTGCAGATAATCCTGGAATTATGGAAGTGTGAAACGCCTGTGATAAGATCTTGGTGCCTTCTCTGGGAGATAAAAGCAGCCACTGTAGCACTGAGCCTGTGCAGCCTCTCCAGCACCCACTGTTACCGTCACAGGGAGAGGCAACGGGAGAACTCACATCCCACTTGTGGGCATTTACAAATGGCACACTGTTGGATCCTTTTCTTCTAACATTTTCTGTCTGCTCATTCAAGAGCTCTTTTTCTCTGATCTCAGTTGCCTTCTGTCTCTCAGCTTCGTTAACTGTGTTTCACTCAGGGTCTTATAATGAGAAATGATTCTTTTGCTTTACGTTTCAGCTCCTTTCTTTATGCTATAAATTAACTGTACAGTGAGAATCTCAAACACTTGCAGGTTTCTCTGTGTGGAAGATGCCACTCAAAACAACTGTATTTCCAGCCTGGTTCAGCTGCCCTTTCTTAGGGTGATGCTGAAGTTTGATTCTAGGCCAGGTTGGACAGGGCTTGGAGCAACCTGGGGTAGTGGAAGGTATCTCTCCCTAACAGGGAGTGGGACTGGATGGGCTTAAAGGCCCCTTCCAACCCAACCACCCTGGAATTCTGGGATTTACTGGCTGCTCAGGGGACCTTTCCCTTCCAGCAGCACAGGAGCCCAGCTCTGGCTGTTTGCTCCTCTCTGCACACACCAGTTCACACGGCACAGTTTGGCTTTTTCCAAAATAACTGATTTTGCTTCATCTCATTGGTTTAACCCGTTGCAAAACAGTCTGATCTCTGAAGCATCATAATTAACTGGAATCTCCAAACTCTTCGATCAAGATCTCAATCTATTTTAATTTGCAAGAATATTTTTGATGCCAAATTCTTTTTTGTCCCCTTTTTGATTAAATATACTTCTTTTCCTGTCTTTTTTGCTGCTCTGCTGGTGGACAAAGATTAAGCCTCCAGTCTCCATCCTGACATTTAACCTTTACTTATCTCCTGCTAATTTTATCAGCTTTAACAAAATTGTCTTATTTTCCCCCATGCTGATAGACAGTGGAGGTCCTTCAAATTATTCAGAAAAGGGGGAGTGGAGGGAAAAAACTGATGCCCTTCAATTAACTTTCTTTTAAATGTTACATTGAAATGATTCATGTGGAAACTGGCCAGTGGTAAATGTATTTCTACATCATCAAACAAAGCAACTTAAACAGATAAAATAGAACTGAGATTTGAGGTGGGTCCCAAGGATGTCATAATGAAAATGTGTTGTATTCCCTGGTTTATTTTCTGTATGTGTAAATACAGTGAGTATTACAAAGTGTATTTATAACTCCTGTTATAAATATGCATTATTAAAAGATAGAAATGTTGGTGTTGGACCCAGCAGAGGAATGGTAAATGAGTGTTTTGTGTAAAATCAGAGAGGATGGAAGAGCAACCGAGAGCTAAAAAGTGGAAAGGATGCACTTTATCAGTGGAATTGGTTGCTGTGTTGAGATGGGAGGAGATCAGCAGGGAATTCAGAGCTTTGTCCACAGGGCTGGTGTGCAGGATCCAGGGGTAATATTGTGCGCCATTAACTTGAGCAAAGAAACAACTTCTGTAAAAACCTTGGGTTTTGTTAATTAACTGCTCTGCACCCCAGGAATGGTGAGTCATTAGCTGCTCACATTCCCCCAAGGAGCTGTTTGTAGTCCCTGGGGATGCTGGGCATCAAGGGCTGTTTGCCAGGGTTAGATTCATCCCCTTGTTTCAAGGAAAAGTAAAAAGATTAAAAAAATCCTGAACGAGCTCTGAAGTCAAAGACAAAAATGAAGCCGTTGTGTCGTCTGGGGTATCCCTGTTGTAATGAGTGGGTTTAAATCTCCACAGCCCCTTCTCTGGGCTTTCATTTTAATGATGGCCAGATGTTCCCAGCGTTAAAGCTTCATTATAACCAGCAGAGTGCAAACCCTGCCATGTGAACTGCTGGGAATGCTGGACCTGGGCGTGATGATTGACTTTCTGCCATTCCTGGGTTTGCTCGTGGGCAAGGCAGAAAACCTGAGAGCACAAACCATGGCAGTGGTAAACATTTCACTGCTTAGTTTCACACTCCACTGAGCTCAGGCTGTTTGTTTTCATCTGCCTTTTCTTTTGTTCTGTGTTTGCTGGGTATTGGGAGTGACTTTGGTATCGACCGCAGCAGATCAGCTGAAATTCTTACTTTAAATTCCAACTAAAAGTCTAGGATGACTCCAGCGTTTTAATGGGATTCTTGTCAATTATACTGAATTATTTGTAGAAGGGTTCAGACTAAAATAATTCCCTGTGGGAATTTCTAGTGTTTTCAGCAGATTTCCAATCAGCTGTTTCCTTAAGGCTCAGATCCAGTGGACAAACCAAAGGCTGCTGCTCCTTCGTTAGGAGGCCCCGTGGTTAATGAAGGTGGTTTTGCTGAGGCCCAAACTCCAGAAGTTCTGTGCCTTCTTTTTCCTGTAGGCCTTTAATCACTAAAAGTCAAGTGATTTGAGCATAATTCTCCCTTGATCTCACTTGATCTGCAAGCAGATGTCTCCAAGTCCCGATCCTGCAAGGTCGTGAGCTAAAGAGGAGTCATAAATCTATTGTAAAAATACCTGAATTGTGCCACATCTTCCAGAGGTGTCCCCGGCACTGAGAGATGGGTCAGCACTCACTGGTGTCACACCCTCTCCCAGCTCTTACTGGGAATCATAGAATGGAATCCCAGGATCCCTGAAGTTGGAAAAACCCTCCCAGCCCATGGATTCACCCTGTGCCCGATGCCCACCTTGTCCCCCAGCCCAGAGCACTCAGTGCCACAGCCAGTCCTTCCTTGGGCACCTCCAGGGCTGGGTACTCCAAACCTCCCTGGGCAGCCCCTTCCAGTGCCTGACCACCCTTTCCAGGGAGAAATTCCTCCTGATGTCCAACCTGACCCTCCCCTGGCACAGCTGGAGGCCGTTCCCTCTCCTCCTGTCCCTTGTTCCCTGGGAGCAGAGCCCGACTTCCCCCGGCTCCCCCCTCCTGTCAGGGGGTTGCAGAGCCAGAAGGTCCCCCCTGAGCCTCCTTTTCTCCAGGCTGAGCCCCCCCAGCTCCCTCAGCTGCTCCTCACAGGATTGACAAGTGTTATTTCCAAGCCTGTTCCACGTGTGTTCCCGAGCTCACACATTCCTTGGCTGCAGGAACAATGCTGTGACATGATCAGGACGTGCAAATGGAGCGATGAAAGCAAACATGAGGGAAGTGACAGCACTGTGGGGCAAGGTCGTGTCTCTGGGGGGTGAGACAGTGGGGAAGGATCTGAAATACTGAAGAATTTGGAGGCTGAAGGAGAGGGGAATTATCAGCCTTTGCCAATGGGCAGATGGGAGCAGGGGGACAGAGAGGGTGTTGGATGTATCCGTAACCTGGAGATGCTTTATTCTGGATTCCAGCAGAGTCACAAAACCAGCCATCCCAGCACCTCTCCAAACCAAAGCACAGGTTTTATGTGGGGTTAGAGATTAAACATTTGAGAAAAGGGTGGCTTGGCATCTACCAGGGTTCCTGCTCAACCTGGCTGAAGGATCATTCCTGGCCATAGCATTATACCTCCCTTTCAGTGATTTTCAGGAAAGGGTGGGCTTGATTTATCCCACCCTGGGCTTTTCTGAACTCTTCTTACTCTTTGTGCAAATTCTATAAATTCCTAATGGTATTTTCTTTAGCACGGGAATGTCACTGAACTAATTATTCAAAAGAATGCGTTTAGGAATAGTTATTGTTTTTTTTTTCTCACAAAATACAGCCTGCAAGAAATATCATGTCTCAGTGTGGCTCCACAGAATGGATGAATAGCCAGAATTTGTTATTAATTTGAATGTTAAATGTTGCAGGAATCTGACACAGCAGTGAAACTGTGCATTGTGATAATCAAAAATGGGAGAGGGGTGTATTGTGACTGCTAGAAATTTTACTAAAAATATATCTAGGCTGTATCTTTGAAATAAATAAGTGAAATATTAAATGCTCGAGCATTTTGGGTTTATTTTCCCGTGTCCCACACTGTGAGCTCTAAAACCTGTGTTGTAGCAGCTGTTTCTGTAGGTTGAGAGCTGTAAAACCTGTGTTTTCCTTCCACAACAGGTGAGATGTGGGAAGATTTCCCTCTTCTTCAGGTCAAGGAAAAGCACCAAGCTTCAAACTGCGACCCCTCATCCCGTGGTGGACAAGGCCCTTCAGGAATGGTATGTAATAGTGTGTATTTATGAATATATTTATTAAACCCCCAGTTCCAAAGGGCTGTTTGTCTCCTGGGACAGGTCTGGATGACTTCTGAGAGATTACTCCTGGCTTTAAAACGTCTGGAAAAATTGAGGCCAACATATGATGGGATTTGCACAATTTTTCCTGCTTGGATTATTGCTTCACTAAGGAAATAATATCTATAAATCCTTTTGTTTCATGAAGAGCAATGTACGGAATAACTGGTGCAGATGAGGAAGGTGAAATATTGAAATCCTGATAGATTTTCCTGTTATATTTATCTTTTTTTTTAAAGAATTTACAAAAAATCCCATTTTTCAAAGATTAATCATCACTCCTTCTAAAACCAGGCTTGAAAAGGAGATAATCCTGTCCCAAGACAATAATACAGTGGACCTTAAAATACAGAGTGTGTGGGTTGTCCTCCTCCCTTAAACACTTGGATCATCTCTGTAGGAGTCATACAGGCTCTGGAATCCTGGCCCATAAACCAGCATCTCTTGGCCAAAATCTTGCTACTCTGTTATGAAGTTTGTTTTAAATTTTTAAAAAAAATTTTTTTTTTTACTTTTTATTTTTTATTATTTATTTTCACTTACCTTAAACCTACAAAGACTCGTTAAATGCACAATAACCTTTAGAGGCAGCAAGGGAGTCTATCAGGATACAAAAACTCTACAGTTGGAGGCTAAATTTTCCAAATGATTACAATCCATGCCAGTCACTTTTATTCCCAATTACTACCAAAAAAAAAAAATCTATTTATGGGGTGGTTGCTCCCAGTCAAGGGAAGAGATGAAACGTCAGGGAATGTAAAGAGTGGAGGAGGACAGTGAGACACTGATAATTAGTGCCTGGAGGGAGAGAATTCCCTGGGCCTGCTGCTCCTCCAGTCAACTGCATTTCCACAAATCCAACAACTGCGTGTTCCCTGCACTCAGAGCAGCTCCAAAGCAGCAGCAAATGGCATTTGGCTGTGCTGTTTTCAAAAGCAGGCTCATACAAAGGTTGTCCCACTGAAGGTCGGGCTGTGACTACGATCCATGTCTTGTGGAAGTGCCCGGAGAGGTTTGGTGTCTCAGTGCTCAGCTGGTCGTTGTGAGCTTTGAGGAGAATCTGACAGTGGGCTCCTACAGAGAAAAGCAGATGAAATTAGGAAATTAAATATACACCAGAAGCAGCATTGACTTGGTGGTGCTGAGCACAGTGGATATTTTATGTTCCACAGTGTATGTTTTATATTCTTCATGAGCTGCAACAGACTGAGCCGTATTTAGCTGGAGACAGATGAACAAATGATCCTGGTGAAGGGGCCTCCGTGTTTGTGCCCTTCTGTGGCTCATCCCAGCAGCAGTAAGTGCCTGGCTCTTACCTGCTTATTTACAGCAATTAGGGAAGGTCGGTGCCGTTTTCTTCTCCTGGTTGTGTTTGAAGCTCGTTAGTAATTTGAGTGGTTTGAAGTCTGGAGACAGTTTTGCAGAGCTCAGTTTGCAGGATTCCACCTTATCCATTCCTGTTGTCCTGAAAGCATTTTTCTCCTATCAACCCTCGCTCCCAAGATTAAAGAAAAATACGTATTTGAGCTAAGCAAGTCCTATTTCCCATTTATATTCAATAGAAAGTTTCATTTAGATATTCAGAAGTGATTGAGGGGAGATTGAAGGTGTGACTGCAGAGAGCAGCAGGGTTTTATTGTGCTGTCCTAAGAGCAGCTCAGGGAAGGACCTGCAAATTGCACCCTGGTTTTTCTTTCTCTGCACTCAAAAAGGAGTCCCAAGCCCCCCCCCCCATGGAAAGTGATCTCCAGAAGGAATTATTTCCATATCTATGTTTTCAGTGCATTACACTGAGCCCTTACGTGTTCCCCTGCTGGCTGGGGAGTGCTGTGGGGTCCCACCCTCCATGGGAACACCAGTGGGGAGCAAAGGAACCTTCATCCTTCCATCTGCCCTGCCCACACAGATCCAGGGAGGCACTCTGTAGCCCATGGAAAAGATGGAGGAATTCTTGTCAGCCCTTGGCAGTGGCAGCAGAGCTGGGACCCCCTGGGCTCCCAAATCCAGGACTGGGTGCTGGATGCACCTGGAAGATTCTTTGCCCCTTCTTTTCTGTTTGAAAGCTTAGAAACACTGAAAGAGGTTGAATATGTGTTTTTTCTCCTGGGAACAGTGGGCTGAGTGGCCTTGGCTGTTGCTGTGTTCTCACTGAAGGTGCTGTCCCTGAGCTTGCCTTGGGCTCAGATCCCGGTGTGACTTCCATCAGCTCCAGTTATCCCTGCAATGTCCCAGGCCAGGCTGGACAGGGCTTGAAGCAACCTGGGCTAGTGGAAGGTGTCCCTGCCCATGGCAGGGGGTGGGGCTGGATGGGCTTTAAGGTCCCTTCCAGCCCAAACCATTCCATGATTTCTTGCAGGATTGTGGCCGTGGCACTGAGGGTCCCTGCAGGACCCGAGTGGTGGGAGCAGAGGCAGCCCCACCTTGCAGGGCCCTGCTCTCCCATCCTGGGTTGTTTATGTCTGTTTGTACCTGCTTTCCTCATGGCACAGAGGAAAGCTTTTATCTCCCATTCCACAGAGCAGGAATGACAACCTGCTGTCAGCTGGGCTGACTCAGTGCCATGGAAAACGGGATAGAGGGTAAAAATCCTCCCTGAGCTCCTACAGCACAGCAACTGCTTTTGCTAATTAATGCTCCCAGCCTTTATACTTTTTATCTGATTTATAGAGAAAATCAAGGTGGTTCACCATGAAAAAGCAGCGAGTGTTTTGTTGAGCTGTTCCTGACAGTGTCACTGCTCGGGTGCAGTGATGGCTCTAATGACAGCCAATACTTGTTACTGAGGCTCTGCCCAGGAGGGGATGCCAGGGGGTGGATAATTGGATGTATTGGAACCACTTAGGAACTTTTATATTGTTTTATGTTGAAAAGATAATGACTGTTTCTGTCTCGAAGTGACCTATAACCTGTAGAAAGGCAAGATGCCAAAGCACACGGATTTTGGGTCCTGTCCTCCTCCTGTGGGAGATGACAGACGTTTGTCAGAGGTTCCCATATCAATCTGGGATACATTTAAATGTGCTCCTGGTTGCATGCTAATTTTGGGTGTTCATGCCTGTGACAGCCTGGAGTGCAGGCAGAATGAAAGCTGATATCTGAGCGGGAGCATTTTAAAAGGTTGGGATGTGGAGCAGTTCAAGAGAGTGGGAGCCTTGGTCACTGCAAGACCCATCCTCTGTGGGCACATGGAGCGGGGATCCAGGACAGTGTGGGATATCCTGGCTGTCACTGGACTGCACTGAACATTCAGTCACCCCCTTTCTCCCAGCTGTGTTCATGTGAGACTGAGAGTCCTGGGATGATTTGGGCTGGATGATTTGAGGAAGGGACCTCAAAGCCCATCCAGTCCCACGCCCTGCCATGGGCAGGGACACCTTCTACTGGGCCAGGTTGCTTGTTCTCCTCCTGTCTGGTTGCAGTTACTGAATTAGTAGTTATTTGCCATCTGATATATGTTTAATTCACTTTCTTGTAGCATTAATAATTGTAGCAGCCAAAGGCAGGATGATTTTTCCTTTGTCAGTGAGAAGGGAGTGTAAGGAGGTGCCACAGAAGGGGATGCTGTGGGAATGAGAGCAGAGGAGATCCGAGTGGATCTGTTCCAACACGTTGGATACAGTCCTTTGCTTTGCTTTGGCTGCAGATCTGGGGACAACTGGAGGGTGGAAGTGGAACCTTCTAGTGGAAGGTGGAAGTGGAACCTTCTAGTGGAAGGTGTCCCTGCCTGTGGCAGGGGTGGGACTGGGTGATCTTTAAGGTCCCTTCCAGCCCAAACCCTTCTGGGATTCCATGTTCTCTGAAATGCCATTCCAGGCAGTGCTGGCTGTGCTGGCACTAACCCAGCCTCGAGGGAATGTTTTTTCTGCATCTCCAAAATGACATTTCCTTGGAAATGGCAGGGGCTGATCCGTGCCGGATGTGGCTGTGACAGCCACCAGCTCCACACGTCACAGCTCCGGCTCCTTAGGCACGGGGGTGCCCTTGGATCAGGGCTGGGATTTTGGGAGCCAGGCAGGCTGTGTCTGGCTGACTTCCATAAACCCGAGAAATCCAGCAGATTGCAAATCTGTCGAGGAAATTCTCCTTGGAGATCCATCACAGCCACGGTGTCCTGTGTCATACCTGAACAACCCTGCAGGCAGAGCGTGTCTATAAAACCCAATTTAGGCTGTTCCCAGCACTGTGCAGCTCTGCCAAGCCCTGTCTGTAAGCGTGAGATTCCCAATACCGGTCCTAGCAGGAATTTTTGTATGTTTTTTATTAATCTCCAGGGTTTTTTTACTTATCCGTGTATGGACATATACATATTTTCTGTTTATGTATAGTTAAATGTCTTGTAAGTGGTTTAAGGGAACTCTCTAGCTCATTCCAGCCAAGGGTTTACTGGTTCTTTGTCCTCAGGGAATGTTAATTGTGATGGGATTTCCAGTTAAGTGAGATCCTGTCTGTGTGTCCCCCTTCCAGCATTGGCTCCTTTTTATTCCCTATTTTCTTGTGTAATCGCAATGGATTTTTTTTCCCCAAAAAAGTCATTTTGCACCTGGGGCACTGAAGCTTGATGATATTTATACATTCCAGCTCTTTTTTAAAATGCCAACTCAATATATAATGTTTAGTTCTTTTTCTGATTTTGAGATGTTACATAATAGAAAGTCTGACAAAAATATTGAGCAGGAAGATTGCAGCAATATATTTGTGAGTTCTGGAGTGTTTGATGATGTATGTTCTATGTGTAGTGCAATTATACAATGTGTGTATACAGTGCTGAGATATAGCTGTGTATAAATGTATAAAAAATCCAGGTGTGTATCATCCCTACTCCTGTGTCCTGCTCTTTGTATCCTATAAACTTCAGGCATGTCCTGCTCCTCCTCACTCTTCCCAGATATGCAGGTAATAGTGCTCTGAGCAGGAATCTGCCTCAG